CAGTTATATAACCAGAGGCAAGTACCTGGCTAGTACGATCCAAATTTACTTATGTAGAGCCAATGTGGCCAATGTTTGTAAATTTGTTTGATTTTGAATGTTCTTTCCTGCACACAATTCACGTTTATCGTTCTCCATAAATACTGACGCAATTAGTACAGATTGCGAACATTGAAAGAGGGAAACTGCAATAAGTAGTATCAATTTAAGTTTGCGGAGAGCAATTCAAAACGCTCAGCTGCTAGCTAGAAGTTTCGGGAAGTTATGACTGTTCCGTGAATCCTTTGTAAAACAATAGGGCATAATTTAAATCTGGATATAATGAACTCGGTTATTAAAAAACCCATAAAAACTCGGTTCCTTAAACATTATTTAAACTCCCCGCGGAATCGGAGAATGCATAAAGCCTTTTGAGAGAAGTAACGGGAGATTTGATTATATGTTTTCTTTTTCTGTAGCTTCGTGGTAAAATTTATGATTAATCAGTTTAATCGACAGACTTGTTTAGCTGAACTGAGCGTTTGTTGTAAACTGAAAATATATCAGCTCATAACGCTGAGTGCTTAATTTTTCTTTAAAATATCTGGCCAAGCAGTTTTTGAGATACTTGAAAAAAAAGTTATTACATAAAAAAGTCGGTAAAAATCGTTTAAAAGGTATTATTTAATTTGAAATCTATTAAAAAAAGCTTTTGCAATCTTTTGTCGCTTCGTTTTTAGTTGTATCCGACACATTAAATTTCAAAACACAGATACATACTTCCGCTGTGCTGTCCCGAACTGCATCATTTATTAATGAACGTGATTATTGGCGACCCCCTTCATTAATTACGATTTTTTACCTGTCTTTTCCAATGGACGTTGAAATTCATATCGGGATACGTATTTCGGCGTTGGAAATGTGTCAGGACGAACAACGGTATCCTTTAAATGCAAAGCGTAAACGTGCTAGAAAAACGGTTTTATGAATTTAAAATATAATGCCCGTTCGTGCCCATCTGCACGGGCTGGAGTGTAAATGAGATATAATCAATACACAACACACAAAATAGGTCGCCGACTCGACACCTATACAAAAATTCGCTGGTGGCGAGTGCTGATAAAATGCTTTCTACGGGGGAAAAAATTGCCAACATATACCCTGGGAAAATATTTTCCCAAAGAGAATAAGTTACTGGTATAGGTACTAGTTTTAATCAAACCTAGTGTAATATTCAAAATTGTATACATGTATATCATCTTCCGACCTTCCCCCACTACTCGGCCGTTTTTGAGCATGTTTGGAGGAATTTTTCACCTGTTTCGCGTCATTTTATAGGAAATTTAGAATATACGTTTTGTAGTATTATACTTCTATTTTTAAAATCCGGCTGAAAAATTAAAATCGGACCACCTCCAACACATCCAGAAACTTTGTAAAATAGTGCATCAAAAAATCCAAATTGCAATTGTGTCAAAAAAGCACCTGCTTTGTGCACACTTAAAGTACATATAATTCGCCACTTTTGTGCAGAGGTAATGAATTAAAAAAAAAATCCGATTTCCCCGGGTTTTCTTCGTTTTTAATTAGCCGATCGTAACGATCGACCTCTCGCTTTATTCGTATTTCGATTCTCGACAAATTGTCTCTGTATAGGATTCAAATTGCTTCATTAGTTTAGGTTTATAAGCAAAAAACTAAAAAAAAATGCGTTTTTTGTATAAAAATGTTTATAAAAAATGAATTAATGGTGAATTGCAGAAGGAAATATATAAGCATATATTGTAACGAATTGGAAATGCACACAAAGTATCACGATTGAAAAATTACCTGACCGAACTTTAGATCAAAAATAAAAATTAATTATTAATATAGCAAACAATAAAATGGTATAAAATTGTTAATATAAAGACTGAATAAAAATAAGTATCAATTAAATAATATCACATAGTATAAAATTGAAAATTTTAATTTAATTTACAAATACAAAATAAATTTTTCAAAAGAATGCATGACATCGACACTTGTTAACACCCAGTACAGTGAGAAAACAGAATTTAAACCCAGTGTGACATATATCAAAAGAAAGCCCAATATTCATAGATGCATAAATTGGGTAGACGAGTAACTGTAGAGAAGATATCTTAAATGAACTGAAGTCATATATGAAATTTTATTATCAAATGTCAAATTAAATTATAAATTTTATCAAATGTCAAAACTAAAGTTTAAATTTTTTTCGTAGATGCACCGTTTTTGAGGAAAAAAAATGTTTTATCGCAAGTTCTGTATTTTTAATTTCTATTGATACATTATCTAGTAGGTTGCTGTCAATATTTCTAAATAAAATACAACCATCAATTTCCAAATCAATATCTTTAAAACTCTTTAAAATAATAAAAATAAATAAATAATTAAAATTTAAACACTCTGTATCTCGGATACGAAGCATATTTCGAACTACGTTTATATGAATTTTATTTTTCCACAAAATAACTTCTGCAACTACCCCTTAAAATATTTCGCTCTTATTTACAAACACCCTGTATGTACAATTCATTATGTGACACCCTGTATAATTGTTTTTTGCTAATTTGCGCTTTACGTACGCAGAATTATTTATTACGTATTTTTTGGGTTTCCATCAATTTTTAAATAAATAATTACGTCGTATGTCGTCCGGCGGGTTGAGGAAGGGGTGGCGCGGACCGAAACGCGACTTCCTCTTCTGCGTTCGCATAATCAAAAAGTAGTTGGAGTAGGCACGGAGTCCATCTGCGAAAGGGACGCCGCCCCCCGAGAGGCATCGCGGCGCGCACGCCCAGCATCCCGACGCTCAGTGTGGTGGTGGCAGGCACCAAGAAAGGTCGCACTCTACGGAAGAGAGGCCACCATCGCGCTGAAGATGTCAGCATGTTACACATAACCCTTGACGTGTAAACAGATCGGGTCTCAATAGAAGACTAGTTGGTCAAACGTTTTTTGCGCTGTGTTTAGGTTGTGAACTGACTGTAAGGCTAGACCTAAGTTTGAACTTAACCATGCTAGTGCTGATTTGGATCCTCGGACTTTTCACAGGTATAGCCCTTGTTGACACGTTGTAGCGTAGCTTAGATTTTCTCAAATTTATCGTTAAACGTGTATATCAATAATCATGCATTGAGTTGTCATTGTTCGGAAGAATTTTGAACCAAATAAACAAACCTTCATGAAAAACAAGGCCTCACGAGTTGTTTTTGTTATCAAAACCTCACACACAAAAGAACATGCATGTGTGATTAAAAAATAAGGTATTTAACATGCAACACGACGCAACGGCATTTTTTTTAGCTTAGGTGTGGGATTATTATTAGACCATAATTTTATTTTATGTCAGAATTGACGCATGCCTTTCCAAATTCGAAATATACTACGTCGCAGTTAACTTTTCCAAGTAATTAACGTTCTTTCAGGAAATATCAGTTGAAAATATTTAAAAGATGTCGTTTTATTTGCAATTCAAATACACAGCGGTGAATAATTATGCAGATACACTTTCCCTGTTTTCTTTAAAACATTTTAATCAGTTTCGAACTTTGATTTAATTGTTAAATTGGAAATGGTTTCCTGAATTCCAAATGAAGTTTCTTGAACCGTGTTTATTAATTTGAGTTACGAAATACTGATTCAAGAAGGAACTTTATCGTTTAGTATTTTTCTTATTATGTCGCAATCTACAACTAATTCCTCTTTCAAAACAGAGGTTAGAGCAATTGCACTGAGATTCATTAACTTGGAAGACATCAACACCAAACAAACTTCTGCTCGGTGTTCTTCTATTTCGGCATACTTTGGCAACTACAGATTTAGAACTTTGTAACTGATTATGCGAATGCAATTATTTTAAAGTTGCAAATTATACACTGTTAGATATGTCTGAGTGATAATAATCGCTGCTAGAGGCATTTTAACAAGGAATGCAGAGTTTTTTTGTTAGGTTGAATAAAGAAACCAAAAGCGATAGATAAAAGAAAGTCCTTATAGTCCAATTAACTAAGCCTTTAAATCGAAATTTTGTCAACTTGGCTGAATTTTTGATATGAGTTAGTTTAAGGTATATTATAACAATAAGTGAGAGTAATTTTTTGTTCAACCCCCGGCCAAGGGTGGAAAAAGATAAAACAAAGGGCTTTTTCAAGATAACTCAAAAAGGGTAAGAGCTAGAAAAAAAAGTTTTTCATGAAAGTTGTAAAGCAGACAATTCTACATAAAAATGGTCTCTTAGCTTTTTCTTGTACTATTAAAATTAACAGAGTTAGGGAGGCTAGAAGTTAAGGGAAGATTTCAGAAATTTTTTTTCTAGCTCTTACCCTTTTTGAGTTATCTTGAAAAAGCCCTTTGTTTTATCTTTTTCCACCCTTGGCCGGGGGTTGAACAAAAAATTACTCTCACTTATTGTTATAATATACCTTAAACTAACTCATATCAAAAATTCAGCCAAGTTGGCAAAATTTCGATTTAAAGGCTTAGTTAATTGGACTATTACTTTTATTTCACTTCGTATCTTGAGTTATATCTAATTGTTACTTAATACATTGATTTAAGTAAAAAAGTAGGTATAAAATGATAATCTGAAATAAATTTATAACATATAGTAAATAATGTATTTACTTTATTACAATTATTTTGGATATATTTTGCTATAGGATACACATAATCAAATAAATACCAATAAAATCTCAAAAGCTTATGGATTTTCTACTAAAGTTTTTATTTCGCATAAGTGTTATTTAAACAAGTTGCAAAATCAACACAGATAAGTGTAAGAAAAAAATTGTACACTATCAAAGTGAAACAAAAATATTATTCATGTATAGTCAACAAGCGAATTTGGAAAACACTGTTAAAGATGATGATAACTTCTCTTCACTTTACAGATCACTAACATTTTGCAACTAATAAGTCCATTCTTCTGCTTTTGTTCAGTGTTTTCCAAATGAATTTTGCAAGTCGAATTAAATTGACTGCACGTTACAAATTAACAATTTTAGTGTGTTTCGTAAATCTAATCTATTTAATAGATAATATTGTAAAGTAAGTATTAAAGTAATTTTTTACAAGGTATTTTTTTCGTCTAACTAAAACAAAGTTAGGTATTTTAGGTTAGCAAAATCTAGTTTCATCACTACTATAGAATACTTGCCTTTTTTTGAAAATTTCTTACAAATTTGAACAAACAACCAAAAAAGTCAATCTTCAACTTTATTTTGGTTACAATTATTTTAAATTTGTTTCTTACAATTATTTTGCTGTTTGTTTTCATTAGTCATTCATATTTAATAAATTGTTCCATTTCTCCAAATTATGAAATATTGATTCAAATAGGTTAGGTTATCAGAGCAGATTTAATTTTAATGGCGTTTCATCGGATGTGGATATTAATTATACCTAAAAATATATTGAATAATGAATGATAATAATTTTTCCGGAAACTTTTATAAAGTTATTGATATTTATAAATTTAAGGTTATACAGGATGAAATAAGATGACGGGACGTATTGAAGAAAAGGCAGCTTCAAATTTGTGTACATATTTCGCATGTTAATACAGATTGTAAATTAATGAATATTTTATATATTTGGAAATTTGACAAACTATGTTTTCCCGCACAATTCAAGAAATTTACAAAGCTACAATCAACCTCAAGGTTAATTGCCACCATACTCAGAATTTTAAAACGAATTCAAATATGTGCAAGTCAATTTTTAATAAAATAACACATCCGTTGTCGTGGATATATTGCAGACGTATAATGTGGCGGAAGGTGATGGATTCAGTGACAGTTTCCGAGACCGGGACGATTTTTCTCAGGGCAAAGAATGAAGTTGGGGAAGTTAAAACACTTTTATCCGTTCGTTCCGGTATATATAAATATCACGGGCAATCAAGATATGCAAATAATCGTATTATTTCTGGCAAAGTTCTGCAACTAGGATTCCGGGGCGTCACGACATGAAAGTTCGGTTGGTGGGAGATGACATTATGCAACTTGTACGGAAGTTAGTTCTATTATTGAATTTTAGTTTGGATGCTTTAAGTGTTTATCGCTTAAATGTACTTCAGGATTGTCTAGCCTCGGGTAATAGCTGACATATGGTTATACTGTGCTTAAAATGCTTTTAATTAGATGATTTTTTTATATCTAGATATTAGTTAGACCAACTAGAAATTAAGGAATAAAAAGCTAATTTGTGACACAAAAGTACTTTGGACTTTATGCAGGATAATTCTAATGTAAAAATTTTCAAATTTAACCCTTACTTGTGTCTACAGGGTACTCTGGAAAAGTAAAAGTTTCTCAAAATTATAAATACTGCACCTGTCAATATTTGAAAAATTTAAAAATACTTTTTTTCATCCTACGTTTTTTTTCCAATTATTAACAGTAATTAGAAAGAAAAGGAATACATTTCTCATAAACATGTGCAAAATTGTCCGCTTGTTTGACTTCAATTTAGAGAAAATTCAATTAATACAAAATAAAATCGTTGGAATAAACAAAAATATGATATTAGAAACTGTTATATTGAAATCAAGAATATGTAAGTATATTTACGGATATTTATAATATAACACTGCCGAGTGATCTAACTCCAGCGGTTCCAAAAATGTCTCTTCATATGACTGTAGAAGAAATAGAGTATAATTTCACGAACTGTTCCCGTATAGCTCATGAACCGCTCGCGAACAGTTGATTTCGATCTGAACACGCCTTAAGGACATTTCTTTCATTATGGAATTCAATTGGACTTAATGCTAATAGAATATCATCGTGTTTAGATTATGTTGTTTTATTCGAGGTAGAAAGAGCACAACGACGTCGTGGCGGTATTTTCTTTCGGGTCGTTCCTTCCCAATATGCGTCTCTAATAGAGACTTTCTCTTTCCGTCTTTCCCTAATAGGATTATACGCAGGCATTTTCAGAACTTGAGTACCTATAAAAGAACCGTGTGTTTTGAATAATTGACTGCGCAGCCACATAAATTCCTGTTATTGACTTATCGCGTTTATTTTAAATATTAAGCCCTCCTATAAAGTTGGATAAACTGACTATTCAGTCGAAGTAATACCTGCAAGTGTGTGTACATTAATATTTACATGGTTAAGAAATGTAGAGATAGAGGTGTAAAATGATTGGTCAAATATAATACATTAATAAAAAAAGTTGTGTCCAGAAACACGTCCTTTTCGAGATATAATGTGTTCAAAATCGATGATAAATATGCTTTATTTTAAGTCGCAAAAACAACTGAGGTAACTCATGTAAATAATATTTTATTTCAGTCATGGATAGAGTGACTATTTGTATTATTATTGCAATTGTTTCAAATATAACTTGGTCATGGCATTTTAGTAACAATTACATATTTTGCCATCTTCCTCAAAAAAGGTACATCCTAACGACTTGCAGCTAAAGCACGCATTTGTGAAGCCTTTTAAGGTGTTCTGTCATAAGAGAGAGTCCAATTTGAAATATCAAGGAAAATAAATTACTAGCGCAACGAAAATTGTTAAATCTACCTCTAAAACCATGCTTTTAGGCCATACACATAAATTGTCAACAATTACAATACTCTTAGCTAAGAATTTTAACGTGCCGTTGTTGTTCTCGGCCTAAGCTCTGTGGAGGCGAACCCCTAGCCCTGCCCTAATATTAATTTTTGTTCTTGTTGATTTAAGGCCATTAGATGTTTATTAACAATCGTAGCTATTAAATTGATTTGTTTTTTAATTCTGTTATTTTGCGTTTCCTTGATTTGGTAGTTTACAAGAATATGTCTTTTAACCGCATTCAGTTTAAGAACCCACGGCCTGCATCACGAATTCAATTGTTTCAAAGTAAAGGATGGATGGATCCCTCTTTGTGGAATTATTGGGCGATAACTTTTAATCCGCTTTTGAATGCTTATCCTCAAAAGGTACAAAAGGGGAACAATGAACAGCTTTATATTTTTGCCCCGAGAAGGGGTATCGTTCTAGTATTCAGGTCAGCATTTTTCATGCATTGTTAAATTGTTATTCATTTTACATAAATAGTATATCAAACAACAAGTTTAGTGAAACTGCTTTTCTTACGAGATTCTGGTAGAACAAGAATTGAATAAATTTCGTGTTGTTAACTTTTCAAATTTGAATATATATTTTAAAATTATTTAAAAAACCAGTGGCGTACGATTTTTTTCTCAAAGAAGGTCTCCTACTCCCTCAATAGCTACACCACTGGACAAAATTAACACCCTGTATAGTAAAGCGACATTTCAAGTGGTAAAGTGTCACTTTACTAAACGATTTTGAATTTAGTAAAATAGCATATTATCAGTCAAAAGGCGAAAAAAGTTTTCCTTGACAAAACTTAAAATCGTTATATTGTTTGTATCTGTTACTGCGATTTTTACGTTTTTTTATTTGTTTCTAATACTACTCCGATGTATTTTACGGTTTTTTCTTTATTTTGAGGTGGTTCTCTCACTGTACTTCGCCATGGAGTTAAAGTGTTCCGAAGGCATTAAAGCTTTGACATTAATTTTCAGTCCGCGCATATAAAAAACGGTATAAACTCGGCTTCTGGCAAGCGTCTCTATCCGGGTAATAGCACTCGAGACGCAATATACATTATAAGGCTTTGATTGTATAAGCGGATTTTTCGGGACCACTTCAAATAAGGGTACATGCGCTTCCATTAACAAAATTCGATGCAGAAGAGAAGCGAGGGTTGTCGGAAGCATTTAGCAAATGGAATGTGACACTTGACGTGTTCGGTCGTTCCCACCACTTTGCATGAGCGATAATATCGATCGCGCAGGGCCGCTTCAAAAACTGCGAAATGAAGACAGTTTGGCACAAATATACAATTCAGGCGCTCCAGAGAGGTGCATGATCGATTCGATGCGTTCGTTATTCGTTGCAGTGCTGTGCAAGAATTACAAACATCAATAAATCTTAATTGGTTATTTCGGATATACAGGGTGTCCAATAATTAGTGTGCCGTAGATTCTACGATATTTTGAAAAATATGATCTCCTGAGGCCCCTTTTCGGGGGGCGTAGCTCCCTTTGGAAGCATTTTTCGACCCTTGTTTATAGGAAAAAAAATACTAAAGTATTGCACATTAATTATGGGACAGCCTGTATAGGATGTTTAAATAAATAAGGGTCAATTAATAAATCTTAATTGGTTATTTCGGATATATAATCTGGAAAAGGCATCTACGTCTCGCAAGCAACGACCTAGTATAATAAAGCGACTCCCTTTACAAAAAAATTAGTTCCACGATAACCGTTTATCACTTCCTTTTTCATACTTTTTAATATAAAAGCGTCCCATGAATCCGGGAAATGCCCTAACGCCGCTTACGCAGCTGTTGCCAATATTAAATCCGCAAGTAAGACTGGCTCAAAGCGGATTAATTTTTATCAAATGCCAAAAATCTCTGTGTAACATTTCCTCTCAGGCGCGTAATCTTGAATATTTGACGATACAACAGCAGAAATTACGATGTAGTCCGAATTATCCGGTTGTTCGAGGCTTCTACGTTTTGGGTTTCCTTAAAGATATTCAGCAAATATCTATTAAGTGTTTTGTCAAAAACCAATAGTAGAAATTTTTAGATAGAGACACAAAAATAGTCCTACCATCTTGATAGATACAAAGAAGTCAGTCACCCTTGGTTTTGCGCACCAAATTTGTTAAACACGTTTGAAACAGATAGCGTGAGGAATTTCTTACAGGAACATATCGACGATGTTCGGTTCAATCCCCAAAAGGATGCCGTGCACAAAAGCAGAAAATTGTTTGTTTCGGGATTTGTTCCCTACCCTTGTTAAATTCGGAGAAGGCTCTCATTAATTCAAGGGGAAACTTGAACGAAATATGAATTTTCATAATAATCATGCCCCCAAAAATTCTGTAGCTTCGCTAGGGGGTCGAGCTGGTTTAGAGCTTACCGAACACAAACCAGTTTATTAAAAAGAAACAGATATTTTTCTAAAAATATTCATTCAAAGTGCCATTTTCCCATAACTGCAGATTTTG